GTGATTGGAAGGACTTTTAGCATTCAACGGGATATTTTGTCATAATTTTGATTTGCCTTTGTATGCGCTGAACCACTTTAAAAAACCCTAATTGGTATAAATCAATAGTAACTGCATATTTAAATTGTTAATATTTTCAAAAACTCACTACAGAAAAATGAGCCATTATAAAAGTTTCTACTTAAATTCAGTAAGTATCTACTGACATTCTAGACTATATGAAATCATAAACTTCCGTTATAACTTCTACAACGTGTAGTTTGACAGAGGAAGAAAGATGCGCCTTGCGTTTTCGGTAAAGTTTTTAATGGGTTCAGGAAGTTTTAAAAGCATACGTATTTACGAAAATTTATAATTTATACTCATAGAAGTTAAATAGTTGTACAGGCAGTAATTGTATTGATACACGATGCGAAATTGTCGAATTTCGGCCCTTTTATTTCGGTTTGGTATAGAGCGACGAATGTTTGAACTTTCGCGTAAAGATGTGACGAAACAATAAATTACGCACCATGGGGAGAATGCGTGTTTCTTCAGATTTGTGACCTATCCTGAAAATAAGCATTTAAAAAGTTAGTTTCAATAGAAAACCTATTGAAAAAAGCATCACATTGATGTTTTATGGCAGTATTCGAACGGCAATTTCGGTAGGGCGAAATGTGTTTACAGCTGGATACGATCATTTCCATTAAACACGGGTCATATTTGGCTTTTGTTCAAATTTCTGAGAATTCCCGTATCTGTACAATGCGAAAGCAGCAAAAGCTGAAGTGTAAACCCCGAAAGGACATTCGATCTAATTACCCTGTCAAATCTGGTATAGCCTGATTCATTCTCTTATGTCGATATTTACATACAACTTTAAGCTAATCAAGAAGGCCCGGGAATAACATACAGGGTGATAAGGGTCAGTTTTTGTACACCATTTTACCAGGACCTCTATGTTATATTTACTTATATTTACTTTTACCTTTATCGAAGCAATCTGCAAATATTTGTACCAATTTTTAGTTCAGCCCTGCTTTTGAACAGCACAAATAATTCTCCTCAACACTAGAAACCTTAAGCCGCGAATATTTAAGGGTTATCCTTAAACGACTAAGTCAACATGGAAAATATAGGTGAAATGATGTATATAAAATGCAAAATTGATTAATTGTTATTGTACAAATGTTAGACCTTTCAGCACACATGTGACAAAAACTAGTGTATCCTCCTCAAGGATCATATGAGGTCTATCATACGGCGTGTTTGCCATTGCCGCCACAAATAGTCAATGTTAATAATAATGGAACATCATCGTCATAATGTCGTCCGTCCTAAGAGACTGGTTGGACACGCACTTCCACTCCTTCCTATCCTGAGCTAATCTTCGCATTTCCCTAAAATTAGAACATCCCACACCCTGAAAAGTAAATTAATCTAGGTCTACCTCTACTACTCTTAATTCCTGTTTCTACCTCTTATATGTCTCTGACTTGACCGTCATGCCTGAGAAGGTGTCCTGGCTACCTACCTCGCCTTTTTTTTGTCCTTCCATAGAGTCCTCTGTTCACCTATTTTTTCTAATACCTCATCATTTCTAACCTTCTTTATCCACGGCATCCTCATCATTCGCCTGTAACACCACATTTCGAACGCTTGTAACCTTTTCTTTTCCGCCGCGCCCACTGTCCATGTTTCGCACCCGTACAGCGCCGCGCTCCAAACAATATTTTTCGAATTTCTAAATTAACCGTTCGCGAGCATAGAAGTGACTTACTTTTATTGGAGGCGACTCGACCCTGCGCTATCCTCTGCTTTATATTCCTACTATTCCTTCCGTCCTGACTTATCTGACTTCCTAGATACCTAAAATCAGCCACTTCTTCAAATCTTTCGTCTCCTATCTTTACATTCGCTCTTTCCCTACTTTTTCTTCCCTTGCATACCAGCATTTTTGTTTTACTTTTATTTATTTTCATACAGTACTCTTTAATCTAAACATACTAATATTTTCCCCCTGTACATCCCTACAGTTGTACTGTCTTTAATGATGTTGATCGCGTCTTCGATGTATAGATTAAAAAGTAGCGATGACAGTGTGCAGTATTTGTACCTATTTTCTACATACTGAAATGATCTAACACAACCACAAATTGTTTATATAAAATTTACTTCAACCAAAAACTGTACGTGAAATATCAATGGAAAGGTAATTGCTAAATCTCATCCGGTATTGTAAAACTGATCACAGTAATCTAATCTAAGCCTTTCTCTATCTCTCTAAATTTCTTTTTCTGTTTCTAATATTCTTGGTCTGGAATCCAAAACCATGAAAATGACTGTTACCACACAAAGTCTGTAATTGATACGTTATGCGATATTCAAGTACAGTTAACTTGCTGTAAAATGTAATCGTACAAAACAAGAACATTTTAATAAGTTGTGATTTTTCCTGGTCGCCAAGATGTGGCTACCATATTTGCAAATTTTATTAGCTTTTGGTCTAGAACGTACCGGCAATAAGAAATTCTAAGAGCAGTTAGAAAGAATCTATTACAGTTTTATATTACCTATAATCGGCTTGTTTCAGCTGTTAAGTTTAACGTGATGTGACACCACGAACGCGGAAAAGGAGGAAATTAAATACTTTTTATGCTATTAAAATTACCATCGTCGGGAATCGAACCCGGGACTTTTGACTTTACGCACCAATGATCTGGCCACTAAGCTTAGGTTAGGTTAGGGTTCGATCCCCGACGAGCGTGTGACAACGGCAACAAAGTTTTTTTTCTCAATAACCTGAGGAAGTTAATAGTGGGAGAAAATTAAAATGAATTTTCACATTAATATTTGATATTAACCCCTATTAAATGTCAAAGTATTTCATATTTATAAAATTGTACACCTGTTAAAAATTGACTTTTATTTATTGATAGCATTAAACGCGTTTCACTTCTGCTATTTTTTATATTTCCTTTTACTGTAGTACTTATAATCATTATTAATAGGTTCTGTTAAGTATTATGAGCTGTAACTGATTTAAAAATGCGTATGTCGAAATCGTTGTAACCATTCACGAGGATATCATGGCAGAAAATATATTCACGCTGGAAGGTATAAGTATGAAAATAGCAATTTAATTTGAGCATGGACATTATCCCAGTTGAAAATTATATAACTGGAAGCAAAATGGCAATGACTGGTACACATTTGCGATTAGAAGCGCATGTTTATACTTTAAAATCATATAGATACCAGGAGCTTTTCTCAACGATATAGAAGACTTGAAATTTATATTTATAGGGTACTACCGGTAATTTCAAATGTAAAATCGAATAATTCAATCCCTGAATTACTCTACAGGTAGATATGAAGTGAATTTTATTTGTGGGGAGGTCAAGATGGTGTACATTTTGGAATTTTCGTAAAAAAATCTGATATGTAGGAAGTAGATTTTTATTGTATATACAGGTAAGGGAAAATATGCACCGAACAAAGAAATTACAGATTTTTGGGTCACACGAGCGAAAATGCATTAAAAACTGCCCTAAGCGCTAACACCCCTTAAAGATTATAATCACTTTACGTTACATCCCTACGTTCGGTTATTAACTCACCACTACTGTATATAGATATCCCAATCTGAATATATTTGTGCTTTAAAGCTAATGAATTCTGAATTAATTACTACCTTATGAATTCCGCTGAGTTACAAATAAAATTTTGGGGTTCATGGGAAGAAAATTCTTTGAAATGCAAGTCGATCTTCCATAAGCACTGTTCCGTACCAATAACTATTTCAATTAGTATTATATTCTTCAAGTAAAAGCATCCTCCATGTCCCTTATAATATTTCCTTACCGTCAAGATAATAATGCCATTCTGGATAAAAAATTTATAGATGACTTTAAAACGAAATTAAAAAAAAAAAACTAGACTGAATTCAACTAAGTATTAAAATTATTGACAAAAATCCAAATATTTTCAAAATAAATCTTTTGTACCTAATACGCAAGTTAAAGCCAATAGAGTGACGATTCTAGAATCGATGAAATATATAACATTCAATCAATTTGACTCTTACAGAAGAATTACAAAAGCAAATTGTCTGCAGGATACATATATCTGATGTTAACGCAAGGTTCTACAACAAGCCTTTCCAATTGGACATCCATTTTACAAATCGCTATAGAAATACTAATTACTCAAATTGAGAAAGCAACTTATTACTACATGTTTTCTGAGCGAGGTGTGGTTTTCTCGACCGCTATCGAGGCTTAAATTATCCCCATATTTCTACAGTTTAAGTCGTGTTTAAACAACAGAAATCCTAAACACATTTGTCTCTAAAGATATAAAGAATCTAAAGCATTTAATTTTGGATCTTTTCCTAAGTTATTTAACATTTTAAATTCAGAATCAAACTTGTGGTGGTCATTTTCTAACAAATAACGAGAATACTTAGTGTTCATTTATTCTAGTATTCATAGATCTCCTTGTCTGTCCAACATAGATTTTGTTACAAAAATCGAAGTTCAATTTGTAGATGCCTGACCTTTTATATTTTCACATTTATCCCTATTATTTGGTTATTATTACATGATTTATATACAAGAAGTACAGTTGCCTGTCGGTGCCAAATATTTTGCCAATCAAAAGAAATTTAGAAATTATTCAGTAAAGCAAAATTAAAATATAGATGTAATGAATCTGAGTGACTTTATTTTAGGTCCCTACTTATATCTGGGCTTAATTTAATTGTAAGCCAATTGTTGGACTTGCTCTTCAAGTACAAATTAATATTAATTAGGCAGTACTCTCTCTCCATATATTATCTTGCTGTAATTACTACTAAAATTTACATAAAATATGGTTACAAAGTCGCTAGTAAATGATAAATAATGTATTAGTAGGTAGTGGTGTATAATTTGTAGTAACCATATAGATATCGAGCTACTTAATTTTTTCAACGAAAGAAAATGTTTCTAAAACATTGCGCTTTCTAATTGTTTCAGATCTTTGATAAGATTCGCGAAACTGATCCCAAAGCGGTGAAAAAGCTTATCGCAGTGGATGGGGATGTTACTCAAGCAGGACTGGGACTTTCAGACAAAAATAAAAAGCTCATCAAAAAAAGCGTTTCTATCGTCATCCATGGGGCAGCATATTTACGACTGGAAGCTTGCGTGAAAGACGCTATCATTCAAAATACTTTGGGGACGAAAAATCTGATAGATTTTTGCAAAGAAATACCTAATCTTAAGGTAAGAATTTGCTATATTTACATCAAAAATATCTGTAGATACAGATACTGACAATGATGAGTGTTACTTTTAGTAGTCAGTAGTAAACAAATGCAAAAAAGCTCTGAGCTTTTATTGCCTAAGTATCAAGAGTATTAAATATTAATTTATCAATATTCTCTGTACAACTGATCAATGAAAACATATGTCAGTAGATATTTTCCAAAGATAACTGCAACTATAGATAATGGGTGTATGTTTATTAAACATCAAAGTGATATGGATCATCGATCATTATTGACGCTCACATGAGGATTATACATTTCATGCTTTTATAACATATCTACGTAGTCTGGCAGTTGATACAAATACTGTTTTAAGTACTTAATTTGACTCTAATTATACAAATTACATTCTTCATCATTTTAAAATCTTCTTACGTCATTTAATTACACTTTCAACTCATTTTTAGTACCGCAAAAGAAAGTTAACATGCGAATAATAATTGCAATGATATAAAACTATGAAAAAATCTTTAAATTACCAATATAAATATTTATATTATTATAAATTCCTGCAAGCCTGCCTCTCTCCTAAACTACCTGAAAGTATTTTTTTTTTTGTTTCAACGGAGAGCGATATTTTGATTCCGATACTTTGCTGATTGAGATTAAGTATAGCTAATTGAATTGTGCATAAATGGTAACGCAATATTACTTTTAATTAGCCACTATACAAAAACAGGATTTTATTTCCTCAATGTGATTGGTATTTCAATCGATATATTGCACTACAATGATGAAAAGCGATCAGTAGAAAATCTTAAGCTTTCACTTGATTGCTGTTCAGGGCAAATTATAATTATTATTTACGTGTATCACATACGTTTAAACGCATAGTAAAAGCGCCAACTTTCCAGTAGTCCAGTAGCAAAATTATGTCTCACATAAAAATTAAACCTAGAACAAACGGAAAGTTAAACAAAATTGAATGTTGTTTATGACAACACTTAAAACTCAGTGTCTTTTAACGTATAAAACCTCGAATATCGACTGCATAATATGTATAAGCTAACCAATAATAGGAAAATATGCTCATTCGGACAATGTTAGGTGAACCTAATCGCTGTATCATCGTTAATCACTTTCTACACTCATTGAAGGAAAAATTCATTGATATATACGTTGATTTGGTTTCAAACGCGAACTTCAGTTATGGCAAAACAAGTTAAGGCTTGCGAAGGAAAATACGAAAAATTTCTATAATGAATCCTACTACTTGATTTATTACATGAAAGTAGTTCATAAATAATACGATTCTCGCAATGGCTATCACTTTTGATCGATTACGAACAAAGCTCGACGCTATCTTCCATATTAGGATATGAATAAGATGTAGGAACTAAATTTGTGCTAATTTTGTGACAAACAACTTTGAGCTGTTGTACATAACAACTTAACCAAATTATTATAGTTTCTACGCCCGTTTGCTATTAATAGCTGTAAATTAGACAATGTTAATGAAATTTTAAACGTATTCACACATCTCCTACTTTTGGTACCCTTACTTTTGCCCTGTCTTCATGAAATTCGAATCTTTAGCATTTCAAATTGCTTGAACATATATTGTCAATAAATTCCTATTTGTGTTTCCACATTACGCAGTAATGTTGTTAGAAAATGTACTATAAATTATCATTATTAAGTACCTACTAGTCATACGCTGTAGTTGCTAATTGTCGAGTCAAACATGGAATTATTTATGTTGGAGCAATTCTTATAATAATTCCAGGAAACCAGAAACGGTAATTGATAACCACATAAATCCTGGGTATATTTACAATAATTATTACGAATTGGACCACTATAGCTAGTGAAATCTATCAATTATTTAATGAAAAACGACAGCAATTAAAATCGTTATTAATGCAACATTTCTACTATTGCAGCTTACTGATATCTTGCATTATACAAACTATCATCTCACAACATGTTGCTGTCTTAATGATAGTATTCAAACTTCTGTTTTCTGTTCTCAACAACATGTAATCATCAATAGAACTAAAACAGCATGATTTTCTTTTATGAGCTGTAAATTAACGCCCGGTGCTTGCCGACCATTATAAATATATTCTTAATTTACGGTAGTTATAAATGTCAAATTTACTGTCTTTTTGCTACTAATTGTGTATATATTACAATACAATGATGAGGTAATTATTTAGAATAAAAAAATATAACATAAGGTTACAGNAATTCGGAATCAAACTTGTGGTGGTCATTTTCTAACAAATAACGAGAATACTTAGTGTTCATTTATTCTAGTATTCATAGATCTCCTTGTCTGTCCAACATAGATTTTGTTACAAAAATCGAAGTTCAATTTGTAGATGCCTGACCTTTTATATTTTCACATTTATCCCTATTATTTGGTTATTATTACATGATTTATATACAAGAAGTACAGTTGCCTGTCGGTGCCAAATATTTTGCCAATCAAAAGAAATTTAGAAATTATTCAGTAAAGCAAAATTAAAATATAGATGTAATGAATCTGAGTGACTTTATTTTAGGTCCCTACTTATATCTGGGCTTAATTTAATTGTAAGCCAATTGTTGGACTTGCTCTTCAAGTACAAATTAATATTAATTAGGCAGTACTCTCTCTCCATATATTATCTTGCTGTAATTACTACTAAAATTTACATAAAATATGGTTACAAAGTCGCTAGTAAATGATAAATAATGTATTAGTAGGTAGTGGTGTATAATCTGTAGTAACCATATAGATATCGAGCTACTTAATTTTTTCAACGAAAGAAAATGTTTCTAAACCATTGCGCTTTCTAATTGTTTCAGATCTTTGATAAAATTCGCGAAACTGATCCCAAAGCGGTGAAAAAGCTTATCGCAGTGGATGGGGATGTTACTCAAGCAGGACTGGGACTTTCAGACAAAAATAAAAAGCTCATCAAAAAAAGCGTTTCTATCGTCATCCATGGGGCAGCATATTTACGACTGGAAGCTTGCGTGAAAGACGCTATCATTCAAAATACTTTGGGGACGAAAAATCTGATAGATTTTTGCAAAGAAATACCTAATCTTAAGGTAAGAATTTGCTATATTTACATCAAAAATATCTGTAGATACAGATACTGACAATGATGAGTGTTACTTTTAGTAGTCAGTAGTAAACAAATGCAAAAAAGCTCTGAGCTTTTATTGCCTAAGTATCAAGAGTATTAAATATTAATTTATCAATATTCTCTGTACAACTGATCAATGAAAACATATGTCAGTAGATATTTTCCAAAGATAACTGCAACTATAGATAATGGGTGTATGTTTATTAAACATCAAAGTGATATGGATCATCGATCATTATTGACGCTCACATGAGGATTATACATTTCATGCTTTTATAACATATCTACGTAGTCTGGCAGTTGATACAAATACTGTTTTAAGTACTTAATTTGACTCTAATTATACAAATTACATTCTTCATCATTTTAAAATCTTCTTAGTCATTTACTTACACTTTCAACTCATTTTTAGTACCACAAAAGAAAGTTAATATGCGAATAATAATTGCAATGATATAAAACTATGAAAAAATCTTTAAATTACCAATATAAATATTTATATTATTATCAAATACTTAACAATTATGTGCATTCTGGCATGCGGCAGTTCTATTTTTATTTGTAAAATGTAAATTTACATTAAATTTTACACCTGTTGGCTACATTAAATTTTATCGCGTGAAAAAATGTTGTAAACCGGTAGAAGTTAGTGCATGCAATTTACGATTGGTTTAAGGAGAGTGATAATTTATTTCAACAGTTTCCTTATAATTGTATCTCCTTCGAGGTTGTGATAGTAACGGAGATGATTTTGATTGACTTAATAAGATGCTTGCATGATACCTACGTGTAAAATTAACTCAACGAACTTGAATATGTAAAGCCTTCGTGGTTATAATTAGATACAGGAGCGGATTTCCTACACAAAAACTTTTGCAGTTTAATATAAACATCATAAATTTAATATGAACTTCGCGCTCTTTCGTTTGTTTTTTTGATATTGCGTACATATATAATACTATATTTTTTTTAGATCAATCTGAACTCAAAAACCATTGACACCAAAAGATTTAACGTACTTTTTTATGTATTTCTACTTTGTCGAAAGTTCTGGAATAATTTTGTAAAAGATCTAAAATTTACGTGCGCTTTTTTATGTTTGTTTTTCTGATATCGCATACATAAATTGTACTATATCTTTTTTAGATCAATCTGAACTCAAAAACCATTAGCACCAAAAGATTTAACGTACTTTTTTATGTATTTCTACTTTGTCAAAAGTTCTGGAATAATTTTGTAAAAGATCTAAAATTTACGTGCGCTTTTTTATGTTTGTTTTTCTGAAATCGCGTACATAAATTGTACTATATCTTTTTTAGATCAATCTGAACTCAAAAACCATTGACACCAAAAGATTTAACGTACTTTTTTATGTATTTCTACTTTGTCAAAAGTTCTGGAATAATTTTGTAAGAGATCTAAAATTTACGTGCGCTTTTTTATGTTTGTTTTTCTGAAATCGCGTACATAAATTGTACTATATCTTTTTTAGATCAATCTGAACTCAAAAACCATTGACACCAAAAGATTTAACGTACTTTTTTATGTATTTCTACTTTGTCAAAAGTTCTGGAATAATTTTGTAAGAGACCTAAAATTTACGTGCGCTTTTTTATGTTTGTTTTTCTGATATCGCGTACATAAATTGTACTATATCTTTTTTAGATCAATCTGAACTGAAAAACCATTGACACCAAAAGATTTAACGTACTTTTTTATGTATTTCTACTTTGTCAAAAGTTCTGGAATAATTTTGTAAGAGACCTAAAATTTACGTGCGCTTTTTTATGTTTGTTTTTCTGATATCGCGTACATAAATTTAACTATATTTTTTTTATATCCGAATCGTTTCAAAATCATTGCGTACTGTTCACCATACTTTTTCCTTTTTAAAGGCTAGAAAACGTTCTTTTAACGAGTTGGAAATGCGAGAAAATACAAACGCTTTTTGCATGACAGGTACTTAGATTAAATTACCCGTAAACTGCGTGAGTCCTTATCAGATTTATAAAGTATCTAGCGTTGCATCGTGGGTATACATGAATAATAAGGTCCATTTTGTGCATTACCTATTATCGAACTTTCTATGGACACGTCTTCCGCTTCGTTTGTAAATTACTCTTTTTCTTTTAACTCTGGTAATACTCGTTTTTCTAAAGAATACAGAACGAGAAATTTCCTCGATTGGTTTCGACTTGTTTATTACTTCTTTCTAATTGAAAACCGCATTGATTAGAAATTGAATACCAAACCCGACGAAATGGACACGCTAACACCAGCCATATTCTTGTCATCAAGCGTAAAGCACTTGCATTGCAATTTTCACGTTAATATTTATTAAAAAACAGCATCGTTGTTTATTGTTTATAAATATTAAAACACTGAATGTATAAATGGTAAAATGACCAAACCCTAACCACAAATATAGTATGTACCTTTTTTTGTAGTTAGTAAAAGATTAGATCATTTTACGTAATAACTACATATAAAATTATTGTTAAATCGATTTACATGACAATCAACACATTATATTCGTTAACAACTACACATATAATTGTAATGCATCCAACTAGAAATAGAACGGAAACATTCTTGGAAAGGTAAAGTTCGGTTTTTGTTTAATGTAAGGCAATCAGTTAAAAATATTTTAATGCGTTACTTTTTAACTTACATATACATGCATTAGGACTTACATAACTGAGATCTGAAAGCTATTAAAAATGAATAATTAGGTGAGAGAGTTCGCATCAAAATCGAAATCAATGACTAAACAAAATTTCTTTCGCATTACATGTTACTGTACGATAACTGAATATTATAATCAGTTACTGATATTTAATGAAGACATGGGCGGATGGAGGTGTTATGTAACAAAATAAAAGTTTTGAAGAATTCGCAACGAAAGCATTGCATAAACTGATATACAAATACGTAACACTGTTGTCCGATGTACGAGGGTGGATTGATAAGTTTCCGGCCTAACCAAGAGATGACGCCACTAGGCCTACCTTGAGGTGACATTCTATAGTACCATCCTTGGATAGCTTGTAGCTATAGTTTCAGCCCGATCTCCTTGCTAGTGTAGGTTTGACAGCACGCTGAACAAGACGCCTCTGTGGTTTTCGTAAAAATGGAAAAGCAGGAAAATCGTGCTGTCATCAAATACTTTTATTTGAAGGGGTTAACGCCGAAGGAAATTAAAAAAGAGATGGACTCAACACTGGGGACATCCTCCCCGTCATATTCAACCGTTAAGCAGTGGGTTTCCGAGTTTAAAAAGGGTCGTGTGAGCACCTCTGATGGGCCTCGCTCAGGACGCCCCGTTGAGGTCACAACTCCAGATATGATCGAAAAAATTCATCAAATAGTGCTGGGAGACCGCAGATTGAAAGTGCGTGAGATAGCTGAGACCTGTAAGATGTCATATGAACGTGTGCAACATATTTTGCACCAACATTTGCATATGGAAAAGCTCTGTGCAAGATGGGTGCCGCGTTTGCTAACAGTCGACCAAAAATTGATTCGAAAAAACATTTCTACCGCAAATTTGTCATTGTATAAGCGTAATCCAAGCGAATTTTTGCGTCGATTCGTAACCGTTGACGAAACGTGGGTCCACCACTACACTCCTGAAACCAAAGAACAGTCTAAACAGTGGATTGGACCAGGGGAACCAACTCCAAAGAAGGCAAAAACAATTTTTTCGGCGAACAAGGTTATGGCTACTGTTTTTTGGGATGCAAGAGGTATTATATACATTGATTACCTTGCAAAGGGTAATACTATCACTGGTCAATACTACGCAGACTTATTGCAACGTTTGAGCCACGAGGTGAAAATTAAACGACCTCATCTGGCGAAGAAAAAAATCTTGTTTCATCACGATAACGCACCAGCGCACACGTCAATCGTTGCGACGGCTAAAATCAACGATCTAAAGTTTGAATTGATGCCGCACCCTCCTTACTCTCCAGACCTAGCCCCGAGTGACTATTTTCTGTTCCCTAATCTCAAAAAATGGCTTGGCGGTAAGAGATTTGCGGACAATGAAGAAGTAATCGAAGCTGTAAATGGTTATTTTGAGGAGCTTGACGAATCAGTCTATAGAGATGGCATTAATAGACTGGAACACCGCTATGAGAAATGTATCAGCCTTGGAGGAGATTATGTTGAGAAATAAAAAAAAAAAATTTTTAAAAACCTTGTTTTTCTTGGTCAGGCCGGAAACTTATCAATCCACCCTCGTATATCGCCTTTCATTCATTTACGTCTTCAGATGATATATTGGTCTTTATTTTTCAGTCTTTAGTTCATTTGTCAACGGCATTTTGTCACGCTGATGTGGAGTATTTAGAAGAAAAAATTTACCCTCCAACAAAAGACCCATACGAGGTAATGAGACTTATAGAATGGTTGGACGATAAAAGTTTGGAACAAATCGAACCATCGTAAGCATTATTCCTTTCTTATAGATATTAGAAACATTATACAAAAAATGTATGATTTTATTTCATTAAAAAGTAACAAACTTTGAAAGTTAACTCTGGGCAATTTTCGTCCAGGAAATCCAGGACTTAAAGTAAGTATTAGTTTGCTTGTTCCTCGAGTAGTTCGAAACATTTTTAAAAACCGTTTTCATGACGCAAATGTGGTGCTTATGTTTGGTGAAAGCCTGTTATTTGAGTTAATTGCAATCAATGAACCAATAACAAAAATATAAGTTCTTGTTAACGAGAAATTGACTAAAAATTTGCATAATAACTACTCATGTTACCAATTCTGAATAAGGGCATAACAATAATTCTCGTTTATGCAACTCAAACATCGTATATTTCAGATTGCTTTACCCCCATCCAAATTCGTACACGTTTTCGAAAAGATTAGCGGAAACAATTGTTTATGATGCAGGACACGACTTACCAGCGACAATTTTAAGACCATCCATAGGTAAATAAATAAACAAACATTTCTTATCGTCTTCGACATAGAATTAGTTAAAAAGAATTCGCATACGAAGAAGAAAATCGAATTTTAGTTATTCCTGCTCTCCATGAGCCTATTCCTGGATGGGTGGATTCATTAAATGGTCCCGTGGGTATTTTAGTGGGGGCGGGCAAAGGCGTCATTCGAACTATGTTGGTTAATGTTAATAATCATGCAGAATTTATTCCTGTTGATATTGCCATTAACGGGATACTGGTGGGCGCGTGGTACCGGGGAACGAGAGAGTAAGTTAATTTTATAATTATGTAATTAAATTGCTTAGTACAGATTGCAAATGAGTGATCCTGAATAATTTGTCGATATTAATGTACATTTATAGAATAAAACTTTATATATCGACTCATAAATTTATATTGATTGAATTAGGTAAATGCAGCTTCATAAATTTAATTAATCTCATCATCATAAGGTCATCAGTCCTAAGACTGGTTGGACACGTACCTCCACTCTTTCCTATCCTGAGCTAAACTTCGCATTTCCCTAAAACTAGAACAGCCCACATCCTTAACTATTTGCGAACAGTAATCTAATCTAGGCCTACCTCTACCCCTCCTAACTCCTGTTTTTGCCTCTAATATGTCTCTGACTAGACCTTCATGCCTGAGAAGGTGTCCTACCAACCTATCTCGTTTATTTCTTATTGTCTTCCATAGAGTCCTCTGTTCTCCTATTCTTTCCAATACCTCTTCATTTCTAACCTTTTCTACCCACGATATCCTCATCATCCGCCTATAACACCACATTTCGAACGCTTCTAACCTTTTCTTTTCCGCCGCTGCCCACTGTCCATGTTTCGCACCCGTACAACGCCGTGCTCCAAACATACACCTTTAACAACCTTTTTCGAATTTCTAAATTAACCGTTCGCGAGCATAGAAGTGACTTCTTTTTATTCAAGGCGACACGACCCTGCGCTATCCTCTGCTTTATATCCCTACTACTCCTTCCATCCTGACTTATCTGACTTCCTAGGTATCTAAAATCAGCCACTTCTTCTAATTTTTCATCTCCTATCTTTATATTCGCTCTTTCCCTACTTTTTCTTCCCTTGCATACCATTAATTAACCTGTCTCGTAAATTTTCATACTTATTGCGAAATACTCGAAAATGTATGCATTTTATTATGGCGCGTGTTTAAGTCACGCACGCAAGCGCTGTGGGTCATTCAGTCCGCAATCTTTTTTTTAATGATATTTCTAATATTGATCTTGAAGTTTTCAAGATACGCCTGTGTACAATGTGACTCAGTCACAAGATTTGTTGTCCATAACTTGGGGAGAAGCTCTCGACAGAATGAAGGGAGGATTCTATAAGAATCCTTTCGAATGGACGCTGTGGTATCCCGGAGGATATTTAGGAACCAACGTTTTTATCCATAAATTGTGCATCATATTCATGCATAAAATTCCCGCTTACGTAATAGACTCTTTACTATTCATTCTCAGACAAAAGACTTTGTAAGTGCATATCAATGCATGTGTTAATCTTAAAAAGCTTAAAGATAACTACTGTTAATTCTTTTTAAAGTATGGTACGACTTCAGAGAAGAATAAGCACAGGTTTGGAAGTACTTCAATATTTTGCACTTAGAGAATGGCATTTTAGTAATAAAAATTGTCTCGTAATAGCCGACGAAATGGTAGAAGAAGATTTAAACACATTTTACATGGCTAATGCCGAATACGATGTGGATATTTATATGCTTACAGCCCTTTTGGGAACACGCAAATATTGCATCAAGGAAAGTTTAAAAAGTATTCCGCGATCAAGAAGAAATTTAATGATGTAAGTTAAAACACTTGTAAATATTACAGAATAACTTTAATATGTCATACAATCTCATAAAGATCGATAACAAACACTGTTTTATTTTTTATTCAGAATAATTAATATCAAAAACTATGTAATTCATTCTGTAATGTTTATAATAAAATCAGCGAGAATTATTTTAAATTCTTCTATTGTAGTTTTTCTGTAACATTTTTATATTGTTTTTTACATTACGTATATACAGGGTGTCGCAAAATTTACGATTATTTTTTTCAGATTATACATATTAGATCGTTTAATTAAAATTGTCTTTTTGGGATATGTAATCTGGTTTATCCTAGACATTTTTCATTTAATGCCCCACATCTCCACGTTTTGGAGTGAAAACAAAGTATCTTTAATAAGTCTTGCACCACATTAGCATCAATTAATATTNAGAACTTATTTTAGGTAAAAGTAATACAAAAGAATTCTTTTAGGTGATACTTTAAGTATTCCTGACTCTGTAGTTGGTCTGTCGTTTGTCGCAGTAGGAAGCAGCATACCGGAAGTGGTATCATGTATTGGTTACAATGGTTTCTTTTTGCCGGGTTATGCCAAAAGCCCAGAAGACCCATTGGGAAGGTACTATGTGTTATTTTTATTAATATTAAATGGACGTAAGTTTGTTTGTTGTATAGAGATTTTTATTAATAAAATTATTAATTGTAAAATGTTTTATTTAAATGTAATTATTCTGCTTTTTGAATAAATTAAAACAAATGCATAATAAGAATGTTCAAGTCTTTATTTTGCAAAATAAATGCAAACCTACAGTACAATAATAAAATATGCTAAGTTTTGTGACTTTTCTTACAACAGTTTTCTATTAATCTCAATTTATCACTTAAAGCTTCATTATTGTTTTTAATTTTTCGTGAAATACGATGAAACGACTCCAAAGAAACATTTGATACAGAGTCTTGCAAATCCTTTAATTCACCATTTAAAACCATATATTTGAAAACTTTTAAAAATAATTTAACTTCTTCACAATCTTCTTTTAATAGAATGGCTATTATTTTACAAATGCTTTCAAAAATTACTAGGTAACTCTTTATCTTTAGAATTTCAAAAATGTACAGAACTGCTTCAGCATAAAAGTTCAGTTCATTTGGAAGAGGCAGTAAGTTTTCTTCTACAGAAAAGTACTCCAATATGTGAGAGATTTCAGTAACACATAGATTCGAATAACTTCTTATCTCATCTAGTAAAATATTGCCCGAGTTGTCTTGGTATGAAGAGATGTTACATATTACTTGCATTACATGAACATATGCAGTTCTAACATCCAAGCTCCCTAAATCATTATTGCTTTTAATTTCAATGAGACCTGTAAACATGTCTGGAATGATATCACCACATATAACATTAAAATTTATTTTACAATTGTCTGTAAGTTTGGCTATAGTATCCAAGGTAATTGTAAGGAGTTCAGTATTGGTTGAACTACGTAATATAAATCTAATTTGCTCAAAAACGTCTCTATCTATAAAATTGACCTTATCATAGAAGAATGCAACAGCTTTTATAAATCTCATAACTTGTACAATAACTAGAGGGTCCTCAGAATATACTTGTGCAAGAATACCAACAATCTCAATGTCTAACTTGTTCTTGTCTTGAATTACACTAAATATATTCGCTAAGATACCGATTAGGATTTCAATCAACCTATTCTCTTGTGTTTCTTTAATCAAATCTGTTACTAAAGATGGGTAAGACAGTTCAAGTAGATATTCACAAATGTCTTTCTCAAGGGTCATGTCCCACAAGAAACACAAATCCTCTTCGACTTTTGTGGTCCAAGGTTCGTTAGTTAATTTCATTAGAGTTTTTGTGATGAATGAAGCACTGTACATAGTATCACCAACAGCATCTCCTCGTAGTTTCTCATCCATGTCCTCGTCTATATTTTCAGAATCTACATTACTAGACTCCATTTTAAAAAGCACAATTAATAATAAATGGCTTCTATTAAAGGATTTTTAAATTTGTAGGTGCAAAATGTAAAAAACCTTTGAAAATTTGCTTGTAGTTTGGAACGAAAAATGTAAACATTTTTTGAGGTTAGTCAAACGTCAAAACTGGTGTTGAACTTCAGCTTCATTTAGCCACTATATTATTTCTCATGTGATGTACAGGGTGTTCTTTATATTGGAAACTACATAAAAATACAAACCAAGGTATTTTTGTGCTACATATTTGGGAAAAGGCAATCACACCAAAGATATTCGTTTATTATTATCAGCATTTATTCTTTCATAATAATAAGCACATTTTGTATTCACAAAACTACTACTTATTTCAGTTATACGTCTAATAAACTCTAAAATTATTCAAAAACATTGAAGTATTACTTCGTATTGTTCATTTTCTGTTAGAATTATCGATAAATAATTTATAATTNAAATAAATAGTTAAACACACGACTTCATTTTTCCACGACAAATTTTATTTGAAACAGTTACACCATAATTATCATTTTAATTTACGTGTAACGTACAGTTAATTACTGTACACTTTACAGGTACTATAAACGCGTACAAGATTAAGATAGTAGTAACTAACTCATCATGCACGACTTATACGAGAATATTAAAATTAATCTGGTTACACTTACTAACAATTTGTAAACACCTACTTCAGAATAATTTTAGTTAAGGCAATGCCACTGTTAAAGATGAGCTTCTTTCTGTCTTCGTTATTGCAATTGTTGTTATTTATTACTTTGTGCTCCACTTTGGCTTTGGAACAAGATGAACTGACCAGTAAGTATTATTTTATCTACACGTTTTACAACAAATGGATTTTATCATTAAACCTCATAAATATATATAAATATTTAAACAATTTTAATAAAATAATAAATAGATTATTTTAAATGACCGAAAATAGTATATTTTTTACTGCTCATAAAATATTGGGTATTCTGAACCCAAAAATTGGGTGTCCACATGACTCTTTGTACTACCTGGAAGTGATATGCATAGAAAGAAAGGAAGAAGATAAATGTTCAATACATTTTTAAGTGTGATTAACGATAGTACGTAAAATTTAACCGAAGTTAAAACAATATCTTATATCATCAACAGCTGTTAATAAACGAGAAACTATAAAAAAGTTTTTTTTTTTAATTAAACATTGCAGTTTGTGCACGAAGGGGCGTACGTTTGTTCCCTTACATAGTCCTGAACTCTGAACCTATTGTTATCATAATTTCCATTTTGTCTATAATTAAGTTCTCTAAAAACAAAGCAAATGGCTAGACTTTGTGGTTGCAAGTTATTGATAAGTACCTTGCTATTGACATGAAAGCTAAGTCAACATTTAAGCCCATTTTAGCCGAGGTTTCCATAAAGGCTACATTATATTCCCTTGCTAATCGGTCTCCATCTTCCCGGCGAATTAATCGTTCAGAATTACAATCGCATTTATTTCCTATAAACAGCAAGGCAAAATTTTCCAAAATATCAAAAGTTGAAAACGCTTAAATAGGCACCAAATTGATGATATAAAATGTAATTAGCATATTATGCAACAATTTTTATACTATTTTACGAATATAAAGCAACTAGCAACAATCAGCTTCTCTATATTTATTTAGAAACGTCATTATTCAAAGTTTTTACTTATAAATCGGTTGATTATTTCAAAAATTTAATTATAAATTAAATTTGTAGACACTGTAGCTCAAATAAATAATAAATCAAATAAAAAAATATCGTACCACAGTTCTAAATTATTAGTTATAGTAAAACCGATACTAAGTTGAACTAATATTATATTAAGCAGTGAAACTCTTCAATATTGACTTACAAAAGAAGTACGAACCTATTTACTTGCATACTTTATTAATTTCAAAAGTATTCTAAGCAAAAATCCTCACAGAATTGATTAACACTTACCAATTAGCATAATGACAACATCATCTTTTGCATATTCACGTATTTCCGTAAGCCAAGCTCTTATATTATCAAAACTAGTCTTGTTTGTTACATCGTATAATAAAAGCAGAGCTAGAAAATATCATTTTATGTTAATTACATCTTGAATATGCGCATATTGTAAACGAGAAGCCCAGATTATACGTAAATCAACTCGGAGATCATATGAAAATATGTAGAAGTTATAAACGAGAATGAGAATGATGTTGAAAAGAGCTCATTATCTTTTAAAACAGACTGTGATGAGTTTAATATCAAGGCTTTTCTATAAGAAAAATAGTATTTTCTTCATTTGTTGTTATAGAAATTAAAAATTAAAGCTTTGTGTGATTAAATTTGGTAGTGAAATACGAAATATTAATCACAATTAAAAACTAAACGGTTTTTAAACATCCCCTCTGTTTACCAGACCGGGCACCTAGGCACTTTTTCGTTTTCTACAATTATGAACGCTTATGAAAGAAGGACGACTTTTAGCTGTAGAAAAAGTGCAATATAATTGTTTCTAACTTCTTTCTATATCAGAAACTTTTACTTCAAAAAATCAATTTAAAGTTTTAATCTGAAAAAAATTGATATTCATCTCATGAGCTATGTTTGTTTTGATAGATAGATAATCAAAATTTACCATGAGCGTCCCTGTAATATGCATGGGTGATGCTTCTAAATCTTTCTTGACCCGCGGTGTCCCATATTTGCAATTTTACTTTACAGTCATCGACCGTAACAACTTTATTCTGAAAGAAAAGTTCGACGTTCTTCTTTACTTAGAAAATTGAAAAAGAGATGAAAGCGTTCAGTGAAAGAATACAGTGTAAGAAAAGGAAAAACTTTATTGAAAAGTATTCCCTGCTTAGATTATGAATAATTAAAGGACAAATACGAAAGCGGAAATTACGAACTTCCTAATTTAAAAAATGAATAGTTATTACCTACCCGAAAATCTACTCCTACGGTTGAAATAAAATTTCCTGATAGATACACATCGTCGTGAAATCGAACAAGAAAACATGTTTTACCAACATTACTGTCACCTAGGATTAATACCTTAAATATTGTTAGTAAGTATACTGAATCTATACAAATTACAATTCAATAAAAGAAAAAATGTGATACAATAACTTTATATAATTCCTTCAGTTAGAAAATAAAAAAATTTGTAACTTACTTTTGCAAAAGTATCACACCGATTATTTTTTATATTTTGTGTATTTCTACTGAGAAGGGGCTTTGCAAATTTCTTTCTATTTTTCACAAAACTTTCTTCTTCAGAACTGGAAGAACTTTTTCTTTCAACACGAATTGTTCTGCGAAACTGATATTCATCGGCTAACATCATAAATCTTAGAGCACAATTATATTATACGTTATTAATAAAGTCTATTAAATTAAGCAAATATTAAACAAAAGCGCGGCTAACTCACGTTAATCAAACAGATAAAATATTTATTTGATGCTTCTGCTATTTTATCAAGTCTGATCCAATTTAATTAAACAGTAGCAAATGGTACGTACTACTTTATTACTAATTAAAAAATTGGAAGAGTACCTACCAATAAAGGTATGGTTAAAAAATAAAACTAAATACAGGAACATTGTTTATAAACAAGTATTTCTTTCACTGACACTTTTGTTTCTTATCAAAATCGTTTAAAAATGTTACCGTAAATCCAATACCGACGGTTGCTGCAAAATTTCCTTGCTGAAATTTTCCCGTATCAAATTTTACCAATAAGGATGTTTTTCCAACCCCGCTATCGCCCAAAAGAATAGTCTATAAGAAACATTAATTATTTAGCATCATTACAAGGGAATTTTCGTAATAATGTTAGATGTGTGGACCAATTGAATTTCGTATTTCGCAAATTTTCGTCAATTACTAAACATAGTGAAATTGGCAATGACGCAATTATTATGTTGCACTTAATTGTAGATACATTTAATTAATAAATAAATAAAAATTATTTGTAAACTACAACTAAATAAAGAGTTAGTTTAATAAGTATCTTTTAACGTATTTCTAGATGAATCTGAACTAAATTTCAAAACAATTTTTTTATTGGGCATCTAACAAGTTGGAAAAATGCACCACAATTTTACCTTATGGACTTCTTGTCCTGTTTCAGACAGTGTACCATCACTTTCAGCAAGATTCAACACTTCCTGGGGTGGTTTATAACCTCTGTACCCCGTCGGGGAAGGCGTTGAATTTTTATGATTTTCACTTGTTAACACATTTAAATGCTGATCTTCAAATACTTCGTCTTCTATCCCATCGTCAGCAGCCATTGTTTTTATTTAGACACTTTTTGCGCTTTTCTTTTTTCACTTCAACGTTAAATACATAAAACGGCTATCCAATAAAAAGCGTATTGAATTTTTGTCTGTGTCATGAAACATTTTTCTTTTTGGAAATTTATGATTTTCTTTTGTTTATTTACTTGGTACACGGTTAGCTAAAAGAACCATTAAACTTTATGTGCCTTTTTGAATGAATGAATGAATGATTGCAGTTTAAAATTGAAACCCAAATACATACAAATCGTTAAGGCGGGTAATTCGGCATGACGTCATCGAATTACGTCATCACATCGATAACACAATGCGCACTAAAAACTACGTTTCTACATTTAATCATTTATTTATTTGTTTGTTTATCGAAAAATACGCGGCAATTGAGAAATGAATTGTTTATAATACGCAAGACGAATAAAAATTTCGAAATATTATAGGAAATGATATTATTGCATTGGATTGCATTTTCTCTGAGCTTTGAAAGGTGTTGTCAAAAGATCAATGCGAAAGCTCGGGAAATTGTTCACTACCGACGCTGATTGTGTGACATGGAAACTCTCGTCAGAAAGCTGATTCTGCAAAGCTCTAGAGGGATATATACTGGGTGATTCAACTGACATGTTCGCTCAAAAATACCTAACTGGGTTTTTAACATGCTTTGTCGACCCTAAATTAAGCTTCAATAACTAGAAATTGCAGGGAGGAAATTCAGATTAAATTGTCTAAGCCTATACAATTAAAAATAAAAACAAATCTAGCTAAAATTTATTTCCCTAATAAAGATTTGTAAATATTCATTTTTACAACGTGTTTTTTGATATACTTGTACAGTAACTGTTTTACTTTAATTCAAATAAAATGATAAAGAACGAAAAACGTATTTAGGTATTCAACACCTTTCGACGTCTACTTCAAGAGTTTAATATGAATGGAAATATTTATGATAATGAATATTCAATAAGTTTGAAAGCTGTTCTATCAGTTGAGAGACTCGTTCTTAAGGTTACCATGTGGTTCATAGTCTCTTTCATTTAATATTCACTAAATGAAAATGGGAAAATTATTGATTCTAAAACCCTTAATTGCTACTACATATAATAGAAAACAAAACTATTGAGCTTTAGTACCTGTTGTAAAATAATCTTGCAAAAATAAAGTTTATAGAAACGATTTACATTTACGCCTATTACTACATAATTTCACGCATTCAAAAGCTGATAGAATAAAATGAACAAATAAATTATTCATATTATTAAAAGCATTCTCCTAGATTACCTTGGTTAATAGTAAACAATATGTATATATCTGTTTATACCAATAATATATATTTAAAAAAAGACATGTTTATCTGATTGCCAGTTTATAAAAGGTTTTCCCAAACGGAAGAATTAATACGTAAGAGTAGCTTTTCTCAATGGTAAGTAAAATGGTACACATCAGTGACTGCTTAAAGAGATGGAAATTAATTGGTTTTTCTTTTTTAGACTTCTTATACAGATAAAGGGCCTAAGGTACGTAATAATGTTATAATATTCCTTTTAATTAGTTTTGAAGATGTTTTTTTTTATTGCTAGCCCCAATTTGGTCGCTTCATTTATTTTCATCATCTTACATTCTATGTTGGAAACGCAAAACAGGTAGGTGACATTTTTTTACAGTAAAAAGAATGAAAAATATTTAATAAGTACATTTTTGTATATATCTATCTAATAGGCTGCTAGCTACTATGTTACCCGAATGGGATTCCAACCACTTGGCTACAAAGGATTAGAAACCGGAAGTCGAAAATATGCACATTATGCAGTACAACAAAATAGAGTATGCTTTAAATATACATAAAAATGATATTGAGTCGACGTAATTAATTTTACTTGCTGTTATTTCATTTAAATGTTAAATAAAAACATTTTCTGTAGTACGTAAAGAACCCACAAAATGAAACAATTGTAAAGAATGTAAATTTCAAAAATTTTAGATAGTTTTCGTTTTCGTGTCTCCATATTTACCTGACGAAACGGAAATTGGTAACCATCTGGTTAAACACGGAGATGGGGTCAAAGATATCTCATTTGAAGTTGAAGATTTAGACAATATAATACTGGTAGGTACCACAATAGACCACAGGTATTTGTGGATCAGATATATATTCCTATTAAACAAGAAAATTATAGATTACAATTAAATTGAAAGTTTTTACGCATTCCAGCACGCAAAATCAAAAGGGGCAAAAATAATAAGAAATATCTGGACTGAAAAAGATGAGTACGGTTCTGTACGTTGCGCTACAATACAAACGGTAAATAATACTTTTCATGGTTTATTTATTAATGTACTGGTGATGATTTTGACTAAATTTTGTAGTACGGAGATACCACGCATACTCTCATCGATAGAGGTGGTTACAATGGTTTCTTTTTGCCGGGTTATGCCAAAAGCCCAGAAGACCCATTGGGAAGTAAATTGTAAGTAAGCAAAAAAATACAATGCCATAGTAATTATGACAATTGGACAATTTTTAGACCGCCAGCAAAACTAGATTTCATAGACCACGTCGTAGGAAATCAGCCTGATCTTCAAATGGAATCGGTAGCCAAATGGTAACTGTTATTTATTTATTCTCAATCCTAACAACACCCTAAAATAATTTTATTTGTTTTTCAGGTACGAAACAGTTCTTCAATTTCATCGTTTCTGGTCTGTGGATGATTCCCAAATTCACACCCAATATTCAGCCCTGAGATCAATTGTAGTGAGCAATTGGGAAGAAACAATAAAAGTAGGAATTTTCACTTTTTTGATTCAGTAAAAGTTAAAGTAGAATTTCCACAATTCTATTGTCAACTTCTTCGGAAGTCACAAATTTACGTGTGACGAAACATCATACGTATGCCAAATCGACAATAAAATTGTGAATATTGCAATCAATCTCAATTGTATTAAATAGAATAAAATAATGTAATTTAATTCTTCTAATAGATGCCTATCAATGAGCCCGCCAAAGGAAAAAAGAAAAGTCAAATACAAGAGTACGTTGACTACTACGGAGGTGCTGGGGTTCAACACATTGCACTGAATACACAAGACATCATTTCATCTGTGAGCTACCCTTAAAATACATATAAAGAAAGTGCCTATTGGTGAATTGTTTATTTATAGGTAACAAATCTGAAAGCTCGTGGAATAGAATTTCTGCAAATACCTGATAGTTATTACGACATTCTAAAAGAGAGGTTGAAAATAAGTAAAGTGAAAATAGCTGAAGAACTGGACACCTTAAAGGTATACGATTCGTATTTATTCTTTACCAAATTAACAATAATATTATTGTAGAAACTGAAGATTTTAATTGATTATGATGAAGATGGATATTTATTGCAAATATTTACGAAAAATATGCAAGATAGACCTACACTCTTCCTCGAGGTCATTCAAAGAAGAAATCATAACGTATGTACTTATAAATTTAATATTTAGATTTCAGATTTACATTTCTTCCAATATCGCCAGTTAAAAACTGGTTGGGCAGTCACTTCTTATCCTGAGCTATTCTTTACATTTCCCAAAAGCTAGGTCATCAACTATTTGAAAGCAAAAGACTAATCTTTTATAGAACAAACAGAATAGCTCAAAACCCCAACGCCAAAACACGACACTGTAGTTGTCCGAAGCACTTTTCAGTTTACTTCAGTCCCTGAAGAAGGTAACTTTGTTACCGAAAAGTGCTTCGGACAACTACAGTGTCGTGTTTTGGCGTTGGGGTTTTGAGCTATTCTGTTTGTTCTACAACAACCGCCAAAGTTTTTCCAATCTTCATATTTCGTCATGGCTTCCCGGTCATCGGATTTAAACAGGTATCACAAACTTAGTTGTAAGATTAGATTAATTGGTGCAGATATCCAATTCTTAAAAACCTGTAAACGTAACTCTCTTTTCCCAGAGTTTATGAATATTAAAGTTTCAAAGAACTGTAAAGTTATTGAAAAAATAACCACTTTTGCTAAGCGTAAGTGGCTAGATTTAGAATTGGATTTCTTGTACTCAAAACGTAGTCTACTTGAAATAGAGGCGTATAATTTATTTAAATCTTTAACTTATAATTTAAGTGAAAAAGAATTCAAAAAATGGAGCGATTTTCAAAGGAAGATGTTTTTATCTATAGATTGTAAATTTCATAAAAAGGTGAACATTCATAAAAAGAAGTTACGTAAGTTAGGTATATTCTCCAAACCACTTCCTAAGAAAGTCGAACACATTGTAGAGAATCTGTCATCTCAAGTTTTTGATAATGCCGAAATTAGTTTACTCAATAAAGGATTAAAGTTTGCCTTGCCTTCTCCTGCTACAGCCTTAGAAAATGTTATAGGACATGTTGAAAGTTCAATTCAACATCTTGATGACAATTCCAAAGGCTATATCAGAGAGGCTTGCAAACTAAAATTGAAAACCAGCTTAAAATCTCAGAGTTCCCATATTAAAAATGCTAATATGAAAGTTATCAAAAAATTGAGAGATAAGGATTGTTTTTACGTAAAAGCTGACAAAGGTAATAAAGTTGTGATTTTGGATAAAAAAGACTATTACGATCGGGTTGATGACCTTATTAACAACGGACCTTATTCAAAATTAAATAAAAATCCTTTACCTAGTATGGTTGCTGGGTTTACTAAAACCGTAAAACAATGTCACAACATTATTACTCCTACATTAAAACGAAATTTACTTGTATCATGTCCAACAGTTCCCCGTTTGTACTGTTTGCCCAAGATACATAAACCAGGTAAGTCGATGCGACCAATTGTCTCTGCAATTGGTGCACCAACTTATAAATTAGCCAAGTGGTTGACAAATGAATTCAACAACCTCCCTATTAAACCACCTAGTTTTTCAGTTAAAAATTCTATTGAATTCATAAACAAAGTCAAAGACGTAAAACTAAAAGACAGTGAGGTTATGGTTTCATTTGATGTTTGCTCCCTTTTTCCAAGTGTACCTGTTCCGCTTACTTTGACGTATTTAGAGGATTTACTTAAAGAAAATGGTTTCTCCGCCGACATTGTAGCTGAGTACATAACTCTGGCTTCAATGTGCATGCGGCAAAATTATTTTCAGATAAATGGTTGCTTCTACGAACAGAAAGAAGGAACAGCTATGGGGAATTCTTTATCACCCTTTATAGCCGACCTTTTTATGAGTCGTTTTGAAAGTGACCTTAGCCACCTTGAGTTTTTTCCTCGAATATGGCTTAGATACGTGGACGACATTTTTGCTNATCTCTAACAACACCCAACTCCAATAACTCCTGTATATGAGAAGTATACAAGTAAGGCGAAAAGTTCACCAACGTAGATGCTACACATTTCTTTGTCGGAATTTTTTGATTTTTACGTCACACAAGTGAAAATGTATAATTTGCTTCTTTGCAAAATGTCCTAAACTAACCGAAATCTCACAATCTTTTGAATAAAACGTAACAGCCCTTAATAGATTTAAATTTCATTTTTTGCTATTTATATGAAAACAGCAAGGGTGAAGTGTATTTGTACGAACTTTCTTACACGGCATCGTATTTTCCAATAGATAATGTCACCCTTCGATGTTTGCATTAAACAAATATCGCTATTTTCCTATTGCTCAGTTTGCTACAAGTGTATATATATTGAAAGTTCTTCAAAATTGCGTAAATATCCATGTTGTGATAGAATAATTGCGTAATGACTTGTTTGTTCATCATCATCATCATCATAAGGTCGTCAGTCCTAAGACTGGTTGGACATTACTACTACTATTATTAAACAATAATCTAATCTAGGTCTACTTCTACTCCTCTTAACTCCTGTTTCTGCTTCTAACATGTCTCTCACTAGCACATAGAGCCTTATATTCTCCTACTGTTTCTAATACCTCCTGACCTTTCGTCCTGACTTATTTGACTTCCTAGATCCCTAAAATCAGTCACTTCTTCTAATTTTTTGTCTCCTATCTTTATATTCGCTCTTTCCCTACTTTTTGCTTGTTGATACCAGCGACAAAAAAGGATTGATGATACTATAGAAACATTAAAAAAAGACTAGAACGAAGAGGAAATTAATATTACCAGTTACTAACTCTTGTTGTAACTATTTTTAATCTATAGCAACAAATGATTCTCTACAATTTCTATTGGAGAAACATGAAAGTAATTGTACCCCCTCTGCAATCCTCGAATTCCCGTCTGATGGACTTACGAGGGAAGATAGAAGAAACGGATGGGTTTTCATACATTTTCTTCTAGCCTTTTACAGTATAATTCTCTTATCAACTGTGTGCGATGATTACTTCGTTCCAGCCATTCAGGCTCTGGTAATAGGTAAACAAATCTAAGTAATTATACTTTAGAATGTTTTTTATCATATATATCAACGATGTCTATGATAGAAAATATTATTAAACTAATATAGAAAATAATAGATTTAAGGCCTGTCTTGGAAAATAACAAATTAAATTAAAAGATTTCGTAATTCTATTCGTAATTTCTCACTTATATGGGGATTAACGATCATGAATGATTGTAAATTTGATCTTTCTTGTATTTGATCGTAATTTAAACAGCAAAAACAACGAGGATTATAAATTTTCTAGTCTTTTTCTGTATGTACAATTAAATACTAAATTAATAAAACAAACTCAACTCTGTTATTATTTGAAAATAGGATGATTTCTTTTGAAATTTTTTAAATTTTCCCGAAATAAATTAATTGAAAAAAAGAAATATAAATTAGCATCTTCAATTGCATCCACATAGAAAAGTGTCACGTAAGATGAAAATTCTTCAATCTGTTTCAATGAAACCTAAATTGTAATTCAATTTATTGTAGGTAATCTTTGTTTTTAAATTGTGTCTGGCGCCTTCACCAAAATTTTTACTAATTTCTTTTAAATAATTGCTATTAATGAATGATTTATTTTCGAAAGTTACCTGTCTGAAAAAAGAACAAGAAAACAGTGAAAATATAGCATAATGACTTAATATTTCGTAAGAAAAAACGTTTCCTAACTTTCTTTGTAATTACATTAATATTTGCTGTATGTTGGGTTGTCTAATACTAATTGTATTACATATTATAGTGTAAATGTAAAAAATATATAAATCAGCATCCCTAACTGCGTTTACATGAAAAAACATAACTTAAAGATGAATATTCATCCATCTACTGCAATGAAATCAGAATTATAGTTCAATTATAGCTTCTTCTTTAAATTATCCCGGCGCCTCCACCAAAATTTTATATTGCGAAATATATTTGTGGATATGAATATATTTATACACTTACATACTTACTAGATAAATTTAACTTAATGATTTGATTGCTAATGAAGAGTTTGTTACTTAATCACAATATAAGGCTGAGTAATTTTTAGATCTCGACATTCCTGAAGATATAGCAGGGGCAAGTTTTATGGCTATCACAAGTGCTAGCCCAGAGTTGTTCGTTAATTTTGTAGGCACTTTTATCACCCAAGGAGACATAGGAGTAGGCACTGTTGTTGGGTCTAATGTATTTAATGTTTTAGCAGTCCCAGCATGTTGTCTTTTTTCTAACTTAGTAAGTAAAAAAAGGTTCATGAAGAGAGCTAGCCAAAAATGTGTTAGCAAAAAAAAACTGAAAATCGGAAAATGCCAATTTAAAACCAATATTCCAAATTTCTTAAGCTTTTTTTGTAGACATTTAAGTTAGATTGGTATTCAATGACTCGCGATTGCCTAGTTTATGGAATATCAGTTTTATTGTTAATAACTACACTTTGGGATGACAAAGTCCAATGGTACGAGGCCCTAATGTTTGTTTTGGTGTATCTACTTTATATTTTGGGTAAAATATAACATTTCGAACGCGTATATAACAGTTATGAACATATTTGTTGCAGTTATGTACCATAACAAGAAAATGCAACATTTCATAAAACGAAAACGTAAAACAACCGCACCGAAAACAGTAGAAGAAGTAGATTTACGTAAGTTAGTAATAAATAATAATAGTTCTTTAAGGGGGTACATCAAAGGTTATTTCANTCTATTTAATTCTGTACCTTCTTAATCAACTTACAACATGATTACAAACGAAAAATGAAAAATCCTTCAGAAAGAAAATCTTTATGATTTATCAACTGTTTATTACAGGGATTTGGCGCTGGAAACTTCAAGGCATTGTTTGAAGCCATTGAAATTGAGCAAGCCAAACGTGGAAATCTTTGATAAAACTTTTGCGTTTGTTTAAGTTACGATATCATAAGATTTTAAGATCTTATTTTAGTGAATGTAAAATAGGAATAAATTCTCCTAATAAACAATAAAACCATCTCAAAATAGGTTTGTACTTATTGAAACGTTTCTTCTCTCATATTTCTAAGTAATTTCCTAATTGATAAAAAAGCAATCGTTTATTTCATTTGCAAGCTTATCTATTATAAGTTTTATACATCCTCATAATATCTAGTGCGATTATTTAATTCTTTTGTTTTGTTTCAAAAGTCCTAAAAATATCTCACATTTTCTAAAACATTTAAAACGTTTTTTTCAATTTATTTTAAATGTGTTTTCATGTTTGTTTCATATCTCTTAATTCGCACATTATTTAAACAATTATCTAAAAATTCGAATTGTAGGTACTGTTCTGACCATAATTGTTCAGAATTATTTTTATGATATATTTCAATACATTACTGGAATTTACTAGAAATATTTTACTTTGATGTTAGATTTGTTAGAGACATTTGCTGTGTCTATTTTTAAACATTTATTGCACTCCAGGTACTTTTGCCGGACCCTTCCGGTCAAAATATCTGTCCTCTTTAGGAACAATGTTCATAGTTGTACTGGAGACAGTTTATTCACCCTCCCTCTCTTCAGGGGGTGCAAAATGTATTTAAGTTAGTCGTTAAGTTGTACATAAACAGATTAGCATTATTCGCCTAGCAACACACTTCGTTACGTTGACTAGCTTATTCGGTTCCATTGTATATATTTGTAAATAAATAGTTAAACACACGACTTCATTTTTCCACGACAAATTTTATTTGAAACAGTTACACCATAATTATCATTTTAATTTACGTGTAACGTACAGTTAATTACTGTACACTTTACAGGTACTATAAACGCGTACAAGATTAAGATAGTAGTAACTAACTCATCATGCACGACTTATACGAGAATATTAAAATTAATCTGGTTACACTTACTAACAATTTGTAAACACCTACTTCAGAATAATTTTAGTTAAGGCAATGCCACTGTTAAAGATGAGCTTCTTTCTGTCTTCGTTATTGCAATTGTTGTTATTTATTACTTTGTGCTCCACTTTGGCTTTGGAACAAGATGAACTGACCAGTAAGTATTATTTTATCTACACGTTTTACAACAAATGGATTTTATCATTAAACCTCATAAATATATATAAATATTTAAACAATTTTAATAAAATAATAACTATAACAAAACATAACTCTTTTATGAATGTAATAGACTATGAGAAGTATACAAGTAAGGCGAAAAGTTCACCAACGTAGATGCTACACATTTCTTTGTCGGAATTTTTTGATTTTTACGTCACACAAGTGAAAATGTATAATTTGCTTCTTTGCAAAATGTCCTAAACTAACCGAAATCTCACAATCTTTTGAATAAAACGTAACAGCCCTTAATAGATTTAAATTTCATTTTTTGCTATTTATATGAAAACAGCAAGGGTGAAGTGTATTTGTACGAACTTTCTTACACGGCATCGTATTTTCCAATAGATAATGTCACCCTTCGATGTTTGCATTAAACAAATATCGCTATTTTCCTATTGCTCAGTTTGCTACAAGTGTATATATATTGAAAGTTCTTCAAAATTGCGTAAATATCCATGTTGTGATAGAATAATTGCGTAATGACTTGTTTGTTCATCATCATCATCATCATAAGGTCGTCAGTCCTAAGACTGGTTGGACATTACTACTACTATTATTAAACAATAATCTAATCTAGGTCTACTTCTACTCCTCTTAACTCCTGTTTCTGCTTCTAACATGTCTCTCACTAGCACATAGAGCCTTATATTCTCCTACTGTTTCTAATACCTCCTGACCTTTCGTCCTGACTTATTTGACTTCCTAGATCCCTAAAATCAGTCACTTCTTCTAATTTTTTGTCTCCTATCTTTATATTCGCTCTTTCCCTACTTTTTGCTTGTTGATACCAGCGACAAAAAAGGATTGATGATACTATAGAAACATTAAAAAAAGACTAGAACGAAGAGGAAATTAATATTACCAGTTACTAACTCTTGTTGTAACTATTTTTAATCTATAGCAACAAATGATTCTCTACAATTTCTATTGGAGAAACATGAAAGTAATTGTACCCCCTCTGCAATCCTCGAATTCCCGTCTGATGGACTTACGAGGGAAGATAGAAGAAACGGATGGGTTTTCATACATTTTCTTCTAGCCTTTTACAGTATAATTCTCTTATCAACTGTGTGCGATGATTACTTCGTTCCAGCCATTCAGGCTCTGGTAATAGGTAAACAAATCTAAGTAATTATACTTTAGAATGTTTTTTATCATATATATCAACGATGTCTATGATAGAAAATATTATTAAACTAATATAGAAAATAATAGATTTAAGGCCTGTCTTGGAAAATAACAAATTAAATTAAAAGATTTCGTAATTCTATTCGTAATTTCTCACTTATATGGGGATTAACGATCATGAATGATTGTAAATTTGATCTTTCTTGTATTTGATCGTAATTTAAACAGCAAAAACAACGAGGATTATAAATTTTCTAGTCTTTTTCTGTATGTACAATTAAATACTAAATTAATAAAACAAACTCAACTCTGTTATTATTTGAAAATAGGATGATTTCTTTTGAAATTTTTTAAATTTTCCCGAAATAAATTAATTGAAAAAAAGAAATATAAATTAGCATCTTCAATTGCATCCACATAGAAAAGTGTCACGTAAGATGAAAATTCTTCAATCTGTTTCAATGAAACCTAAATTGTAATTCAATTTATTGTAGGTAATCTTTGTTTTTAAATTGTGTCTGGCGCCTTCACCAAAATTTTTACTAATTTCTTTTAAATAATTGCTATTAATGAATGATTTATTTTCGAAAGTTACCTGTCTGAGAAAAGAACAAGAAAACAGTGAAAATACAGCATAATGACTTAATATTTCGTAAGAAAAAACGTTTCCTAACTTTCTTTGTAATTACATTAATATTTNGCTAAAATAATGACGGATAGTAAAGAATCAATAATAACAAAAGCCTTAAGATTAAATAACATTATTTTGTGTTAATTAATTAATTATAAGTGATCACTGGCCTTTATGTTGTAATATCGCATTTCATACGTCTCTTTATTTAAGATTGGACTGGAAATTAGGCATCACTTGCCTGATTGCTTATATAATATTTTTGGTTGTTGGGACCCTCATAGAACTCAACTACTTCTTCCCAGTAAACCTGCCTACTTGCGAAATACCCGATTTGAGCTGATTGTTACCCATAATGAATATTTTTTACTAATACATATTATGTATAACACTACCTATTGTAAAACTGTAAACAATAAATTACTTTTCATTTGAAGTAATCATACTCTTTTGTTCAAGTGTGACACCCTGTTAATAGCCAGAAATAGATATACAGGCAGGGCGAAATGATCACCGAACATAGAAATTACACATATCACTGACCTGTTTCAATAGCATCATCTGATCCTGCAGGACGTGTCGATGTAATTATGTACAATCCTCTAAAAACAGGAATATCACAAATATTAACACCTATAGTTTTAATTAACGCAAACTCTTATTAAACACACTAAGGGTTATTCGATTTTTACTTTTCATTAGTAAAAAGTAAAAGATATCAGTTTCTAATCTTTTTACTAACTTCACACAAAAAAAATATACGCGACAAATACAAACAAACGAATGTTCTTATTAGGTGAATATTTAATTTGAAATCTATAACCGTAAAACACGTTTAGAATCAGTATTGAATAAAACACGACTGATATGGACTATTTTCGTCGCTTTCCATCTTTTTTAAAATAAAACTACGTTGCTTGTTGATGTTTATCTCGCTTTAGGCCTAAAGGGACTGGGTAAGATTAGAGAAAGACATCAGCATGTTGTTTTACAGAAGGAACAGATTGAAACAGCGTTTGACTTTAGTTTATCCAATGTCAAAACTGAACTCCAACAACAAGGAACAAGCATTCACTTTTAGATTCGCAGATTTCCCTTAATGATAAACAAAATCGCTTTCAATGTTTTTTATTCCCGTAAACCCCAACACATAATTTACAATTAAAACAAATAAATGATATTTGTTAATACTAATAAGCGTCGCTACATTGCAACATACAATATTATATGCAAAATTGTTTTTAAACTGTTTTACACATAATTAATGTTAGTTGAAAAATTCTTGCGATTCACATTAATATTATTAATAAGTGACTGTGAATTAGGCTGAACTTGAAACTGCAACTTTAAAGTTGAATTAAAATCACTATAGAATATATAATTGTTGACACAAACTGTAATAAAACAGAATCAAAAAATTGAAAAATTAACACAGAAGCAAAAGCTAAAGATACCTTTACATTGAAATCCCAATCTAATATAAAAACACCAAACATGGTCTTGTTTTGTGCAGTGTAAAGTATGGAAAGACTAATTTCCTAAAATATGTAACAGTTATATTCAGTATTTGATTAAAACTTTTAGATTTACCACATCGTTGAAAGACACAGAAGGATAACTAACACGGACTTTATAAAACTTATTAATCAGTTTAGAAATCTAAAACAAAGAGCAAGGTTTGGTTTTTGTAATAATAGTAATGGTAACAATTTTTTGTCTTTTATTTTTTTTTGAAAACACGAAAAATCCTACCTCATCATTTATAGATGTGAAGCTATAAATCCATATATTAACATTATATAATCGAGCAGAAAAACCTATTATTGGTACTATGAAGGGCAGTTGTACATTCTCCATAAAGTTTATGTAAGCTTCATAACTATGAAATTGCATTTCATAAAAGCTACTTATGATGAAATAAGCAAAGTACGCCTCGATCGTATTAATAAATTCACATTTCGCTTCGTGAAGTGATACACAAGCTTTTGCAAAAATTTCAGTAATTTCTTTGACTTTCTTTGGATCTTTCATATTGATAATAGTTTCTGCGTTTACATTTAAAACTTCAGCGTGAAATTTTATTTTAGATGCAAAGACAAATGCTATGTAAGTAATTATAAACCTTATAAGTACTATAAAGAATACCAGAAAAAATT